ACTCACATTTCATCTGGGAAGTCCCATCATGTGACCCTCTCTGATGCAATCAGAAAAAATACAAGCATCTGTGAGAGGTATGCCTCACTCCCTGTCAGCCTTGCCCTCTGCAGACCTCTCCCCTTTGGAACCTCCGCCAGCACTCTTCCCTGTCACAGACCAGGCTGCTGCCACCGAGAGCCATGGCCCACTCTGCTTCTTCTGCCAGTTTGGTTCCAGCTCATTCCTCAGAGCTTAAATAGCATTGCAGATAAATATGCAAAGAGCCCCTCCTGTTGCTTTTCACTGCATAGCTTCCTGACTCTCTTCTTTTGAGGGTTCACCACTCTGCCACTTTTCCCATTTCTTGCCTGCTCACTGGCAGACTGTTGATGCAGAAAGGAGTGTCCTTGCCATATCTAAAGGGCTACTCCAGCACCTGACATATGGCTGGCACTGACAGCTGTTAAGCAGATGAACCTCCGTTTTGAAGACTAAATATCTAGGGGAATGAAGAGAACAGGAAGAAAAATGTGTGCCTGAATTTCGGTCCTCCACAAGCTGGTCTGATGGAACCTAATACTCAAAGTGACAGTTCTAAGAGATGGGGACCTCTAGAAGGTGACTAGGTTATACGGGCTCTGCCTGGTGTAAGCACCTCTCCTCCCATGTGACTACACCACAGGCTGTGACATTTCTGAAACAGATAACAGTCATCAGGTCACCAAATCAGCTGGTGGCTCGTAGTCTTGGAATTCTCAGCCCTCAGAAGTCAGAACAAAAATGCCCTCGCTCATAAATCGTCTGCTGTTGTACTAGCCCAACTAGACTGAGGCTCGAAGAAACGTGGCAGTGGTGGTGGTGTGTGGATATGGTGTGAGGTCTATGCTCCTCAGTGTGTGGGTTTGTGTGTGCCACGCAGAGGCCAGAGAAGGGCTTCCAATGTCTTCCTCCATGCTCCTTCCTTGAAACAACGCCCCTTGGTGAACCAGAAGCTCGCTGTGCCAGCTGACTGACTGGCCAGTGAGCTCCTGGGACCTGCCCATCTCAACCCTGCAAGGCTGGGGGTACAGGCACACGCATACACGCCAGCTTTTTATGTGGGTGCTGGGTACTCAGGCTCGCACAGCAAGCACTCTAACCTACTGGGCCACCCCGTCCTCCTCCCCCTAACCCCTAGAAACAATGATCTGAGTGAGCACTACTCAAAATCACCCTTGTTAAGGATTTTCTTCTGAAAAACTGTACAATCACAAAAAACAGCGACTACACAATGAACAGACTTATTAACTTAACATTGGCTGCTTGAATGTTTACTAACTGGGGTCTGTATGCTTTTTACTGTGTACAAATCCCCCCCCCCTTTTTTTCCCTGAACCTCTACACAGAGCAGAGTACTGAGGAGGTCTCTAGACTGTTCTAGGGAACAGAAGGCTATTTTTCTCCCTCTTGCCCGATCTTCACACTTACAGGGCACTTGTGTAGTGTTTATTATTGCCACTCTATACCAGAGGCTCTCAACATTTTCTGATAAGCCTTTCGAAACCCCCAAGCCCAGGCCATATCCCAGACCAACTAGATCAGAACTTAAGGAGTAAAGACCCAGACAGACAGCAGTATTTTTAAGCCTCATAAATGACTCCAGAGGTTACCCAAGTCCCAAAATCCTATGCTGACTTTAAAGGCAAAAAAGCTGGACCTACAGAAAGGCAACCATACAGACACACACCAGTGGAAGCTGTGTACTCACTGAATAGTACTTTCTGAATTTTGGCTTAAATCATTAGATGTCCTTTAGTGTTTCTCTAACTCTTACTAAAATGTACTACAAATGTCACTGTGTCTCCCAGTATCAACACTGAAAAGAAAATAAAGCATATTCCCTTTTTTTGACTAAATTCTAAAACCTGGAAAATCCACCTCCCTCTTCTTAGAAATAGCCAGCTCTGTTTGAACTTCTAGCAGCAGACAGAAACAGTTAACATCTTGTAAGGAGAAAGAGTCAATAACATGCAGCTGATTATATAGACAATAAATGAATAAACAAAAATAATAAGACTGAAATTGGCAACTTAAAAATCATGAAATATGACTGAAAATAGCCCAGCCTAGGCCCACTTCTAATCAAGGAAAGACACAACCTAGTTCTGTCTCCACTTTTAGTCACACACACTTGCACATTGCCGACATGGTCCATCCCAGCAGATTTTTTCTTTGAGACAGGGTCTCCATGTAGTGTGGAACTAACTGTAGTTGGCAGACCAGAAGGCAGACCAGAATGGCCTTGATTCGCCTGCTTCTGCCTCCTAAGTGCTGGGATTGAAGTTACGTACCACGCCCAGCTTAGAAACAGACAATTTTTTAAAATGTTAAGATTTTATTGTGTGCATGTGTGTGTGTGTGTGTTAAAATATTTTGCCTGCATACATGCACGTGATGTATGCATGTGCACCGTGTCCATGCCTGGTGTCTGTGGAGGCCAGTGGAGAGCAATCGGTCCCCTGGAACTGGAGTTACGGGCAGTTATGAGATGCATCAGAGTCATCAGGGTGCTAGGAAGAGTAGCAAGTGCCCTTTATTGCTGAGCCATCTCTCTAGCCAAGAAACAGACTTAACTCTCTACAGCACACACAGAATGTATTTGTGCCAACAAAGGAGTTCCGTTTCTCATACAATTGTGTAGATGTAGGAAGGTACTATGTCATGCAATGTCTTTAAAAATCCACATTCTTGAAGAGGACTCAATGGGAAGAAGACTTGCTGCCGAACCTGATAACCCCAGTTCAATACCCAGAGCCTACATGGTGGAAGAGAAACAATTCTAAACCACACAACCTCAAAATGCTTCAGAAAGCTGTCTTCTAAAAGAATTACAAGTGTGGTGCACGTCTCTAATCCCAGCACTCAGGGAGACAAGCAGGCGGATCTCTGTGAGTTCGAGCCCAGCCTGGTCTACAAAGCCAGTCCAGGATAGCCAATGCTACACAGAGAAACCCTGTCTCGAAAAATAAAATAAGATAGAATTACAAGTAAAAGAGTCACGTAAAGGAGTCACTATGGGGTAATTTTGTTACCACATACAGTGATGTACTAGCTATTTTGAAACAAGGTTGATATTCCATTAACATTAAATATCACTAAAAATGCATCCCTCTACCTTTAGCTGCAGTGATAGCCAAACCAGTTTTCCTGGTCCTTCTTAGTGATCTGTGGTACAAAAGCCAGACGGTGCAGGTAATGCTGGCCAAGTAAAAGTCCTTCTCAACTCGAAGCCTGAGGGATCTCCAACTTCACAAGCAAGCATGTCATATCAGTGGCTAGCCTCTGTCAGGGACAACTAACTTCTAAAAACAAGTTTGCAAAACTAGCCAGGGCAACCCAGCCTGTAGCCCTAGCACTAAGGAGATAGAGACGGAGGGATCAGAAGTGTAAGGGCATCCTTGGCTACACAGCAAGTTTAAGGCCAGCCTGGGCTACTTGACACTGTCTCAAAAATGAAACAAACCAAAAACCATTTTCTCTCTTTCAGCATATGTTAAGTTCCAACCTGTCCAATGACAGTCACTTGATAATATTATCTTGTCTTGACCTCCAACTGAAATATTTCTTACCCTTTATTTTTATCACTATGGTAAAGAAGTTTCAGAAATCAAATGAATGAAACCCAGCACCTTTGTTGTAATATAAAACAAAATTAATTTGTGGAGAGGAACAATTCTGATTTGAACAGAGAAATGATAAATTATAAAATATCTTCAAAAATAAACATTAAGTTGTAAAGACTCATTAGATCCTAATCTTATGATACATTTTTAAAATGTAATTACATGAGTAATTTATATAACTGAAGAGCTATGTTATGACTTTATCACAGTGCTTCCACATTTGCTTTTGCTATTTAGCCTTGGGGCTGGAGAGATGGCTCTGGCTGCTTTTCCAGAGGGTCCAGGATTTATTCCCAGTACCCATGTAACGGCTCACAACTGTATGTAACTCCAGCACCCTCTTCTGGCCTCCTCCCGCGCACACACACATGGTGCCCAGACACAGGCATAACACCACCACACGAAAAATAAAGTTTTAGGGCTGGAGAGTTGGCTCAGCAGTTGAGAGTACTCTTCCAGAGGTCCTGAGTTCAATTCCCGACAACCACACAGTGGCTCACAACCATCTATAATGAGGTCTGGTGCCCTCTCCTCTTCATGCAGGGAGAGTACTGTATAAATAATCTTAAAAAGTAAAATAAAATTTGAAAAAATTAAAAATAGCCTTGAATTTCTGTCTTTTCCTTTATTCGTCTGTTGTGGGGAGCAGCAAGGCGAGCGGAATGGAGGCACTTAGAGTTCGGAGGCCAGCTCCTGCCGTGTGGGTGGCCCGGAACTCAACTCAGGTTGTCAGACTTGGTGGCAAACGTCAAACCATTAGGCCAGCAAGCCATCTCACTGGCCCAATAGTCAGCCTTTTAAAATTAAAAACAAATGAAGCCAGGCCGGTGACTCATGTCTGCAATCCCAGCACTAGAAAAGCTAAGGCTGAAGTGAAGTCAGTCTTTGCTACGAAACAAGTACCGGGCCAGTGAGGGTTACAAGTGTGAGGCGGGGGGGTGGGGGGGGCTCAAATCAATACATCAAGTCTTCACCTGCCCTCAGTATAATTCTGGATTAAGACGTTCTAAGTAGTAGGGTTTCACTGTGCACAAAAACATATGGTGGCAATAACCATGCGTCATTCATGGGATGGAATTCATTCACTCCGATAGCTGCCAAGGTCCGTGCTCCACAATTTGTGCTGCCTGGGTAAGGTCAGAATAATCTGATAAAAGACCTTTTGGCTAGCCAGCAGGAGATCGGCGAACACCCTAAGGCTCCCCAATGTGTGGCTTCTGGCAGTCAGTGCAACATAAACCTTAAGGCGCACCGACTTCTTTCTTGGGAACAAGTGCTAAAGGAGCCCAAAAAACGAGCCCTGGGCGGGGAGAGGGCTGCGGAGGGCGAGGCCCAGCTGCGGGAAGAGCCACTTACGAGATGTAGGCTGGGTATCCGAAACCTATCAGGTTGCAGAGGAGAGAGGCTCCATAGCCGAACACCAGATACAAGGCCACCAGTCCGACGACACCTGGAGAGCGGAAAGAAGCGGGTTGGGTGGCGCGGCAGACGGTATAAGGAGCCAGTCCCCGCCCACACCCACACTTCGAGGGTAGGCCTTTCCCGGGCGGCTTCCTCCCGCCTCGGTAAAGGCGAGGAACCAAGGCAGGGCCTGCCCTTCCACCGGGCGCCGTTTGGGCTGGGGACGCCGGGGAATCCTCCGTCCTTCCTCGCTGGGCAGGGCCTTCCCGAGCTCCAGGATCGTCGGCGCAGCCCCCGGCCTCAGCTCCCTGCGGGAGGGCCCGCCTGGAGGCACACCGGCGGTCCCCTGCCTCTCCTCCCCCCGGGCTGGCCCGCCGTGCACCGGCCGGTTTGCTCGGCTAGCCCCGGGGCTCCTCGGACGCTCGGCGGAGGCGACACGTCAGCGCCCGCGCGTCCCGCAACCCGCGGCTCCCGGGCCCCGCTCCGCGCGCCAGGGCGGCCCTCCCGCCAGTCCGCCGTCCGCGCCCCGCGCCGCTCCCGGGGACCCGCCGCCCACCGAGCGCGATGAAGCTCCGGTTCACTCCGGTCTTGGCCTCGAGCTTGGCCAGGAGGTCGGTCATGCAGTTCTTCTCGTGCAGGAACCGGTCGAACCTCTCCCTCATGGCTGCGGACATGGCTGGGGCCGTTCGCGCCGCCCGGGATGCTCCGCAGCCGGCTGGACGCGGAACCCAGCTGACCGGGGCGGGGCGGGGCGGGGCGGGGGGCGGGGCCGGAGCGGGGGCGGGGCCTGGGAGGGCGGGGCCGCGGCGCGTGCGCGAGGCTCCCGGGCTCGGGCCCCGCCCCGCCCCGCCCTCCGCTCGCCGCAACTGCCACGCCTTGCCCCCCCCCCCCCCCCCCCCCCCCCCCCCCCCGCCCCGCTGGAACCAGCCCGACGCGTCTGGGGCCCGCCTGAAATTTTCAACCTAGAGATGGACATGGGGGACGGCCCTGAAAATGCCCCTGGAGGAAGCTCACGTGCCCTCCTCTGGGACACACTGTTTTCAAGCGTGGCAGTTAGAGCCTCCCGGTGGGCTGGGGTTACCTTGAGGTCTAAGGGAAGGGGTGTTTCCTAGCCCTACTGTGGAAGTGGCAGCCTCCTCCCTAAAGGCACAGTTACCCTGAGGAAGAGGGGGGGCCCCGGAGTGTAAGCCAAGCCAAGACCTCTCTCCAGCTTGCCGTGGCGCCCCAGGCTCTCCCTCCACGTAAACGTAGGCTCTAGTGGTCTTTCACCCTATTTCTTCAGAACACTCCTGAAATGGCCCTCTCTCCCATTGCATAAGACTCGAGGGCCTTTAGTGGCGCTGTAGGACTCCATCCCTCAGGAGAACGTGAGGTCGAGCACAAACTAGCCCCCTTACGCCCTCCTCCGCTTCCAGATTCAGCTCCCATATTGCCTTCTCCGGGAAGGTGTAGAGATACCCTGCTCGCTCCTTTTCCCTTATCTGCGAGCTCCTTCTCTTTTTCCCTGAGGTTCTTACATCGACTCTCTCAACTGCCCCCACCAATACCCAGTTAATCATTAAAGAAATCGAACCATAACTTTATAGCATTATTATAATAGCATCCGCATCCTGTCGTGGATGTCTTGCTTTATGATATGTAAACATGTTTTTGTTACAATTCCAAGTTGGGAATTTTAGTTTGTCCACACCTGTGTCTCATGAGGGGCGGGGTCTTTGCCAGGTGGAATTGGTTGAAGTCTGAGGACGGGGGTGGGGGGGGTGGTGTATAAATATGACAGTCTAGAGGAAGAAGGCCGGGCTGCTTGGAGGAGGACTGCTGGCTGCCGACCGGTCCTGCTGGTCCTTCGCGGTGTTGGGTGGGGGCGGGTTAGAGGGAGGTAGAAGCATTTAATAACCCTAAATAAAGTGGATTTGTTAAAAAAAAAAAAAAAAAAATCAAGGTCAACGACACCCAGCTGTTCATTAGCCTACAATTAATTCTCAATGTTGCAGTCAAAGGAACAAAATGTGGACCAAAGCTAGGAATGGTTCTGCATACCTGAATCCCAGGCCTTGGAAGATGAGGCAGAAGGATCAGGAGTTCAAAGAGAGCCTCAGCTACAGAGTTTGAGGCCAGCCTGAGCTATAGCAAACCCTTTCGAAAAACAAGCAAGCAGAGCTAAAGAAATGGCTGGGTGGTTAGGAGCATCTACTGTTGTTGAAGAGAATGAAGCTCAGTTCCCAGCACCCAGCTTTTGACTCCTGTTCCAGGGGATCCAGCCCTTCTGGACTCTGTGGGCACAGGCACACACAGACACACATAATTAAAAATTAAAAATAAATCTACAAAGTGAATTTAGGACAGCCAAGGCTACACAGAGAAACCCTGTCTTGGAAAACCAATAAATAAATAAATGAACAAATAAATAAATCTAAAGACAAAGAATTCTTATTTTCAGAATAAAAATTTGAAAACAATAACAAACAAACAAAAAAGTGGGCCAGCCAGTCGTGGTGGCACACACCTTTAATCCCAGCACCCAGGAGCCATAGGCAGGTGGACCTCTGTGAATTCAAGGACCAGCCTGGTCTGCAAAGAGAGTTCCAGAACAGCCAGGGCTATTACACAGAGAAACTGTCTCAAAACACCAAAAAATAAAAATAAATAAAAATTTAAAAATGAGTCAAATTGTGCTTTGTCTGTTCTCAACCCTCCAGTGTTTTTGTTTTCTGAAAAATGGCTCCATACTGGGCAGGTGGCTCAGCCAGAAGTGCTTGGTAGTGAAGCATGTCATCAGAAGCCGCGTGCGACAGCCTCCGTGCCCCACCACTGGTGAGGTGGACTGCTGGAACTTGACGGCTAGCCAGCCTATCTGAGTTGGTGAGCTGCCGGTTCAGTGAGGCTGACCGTCAAATAACACAGAAAACAAACAAGGAAGACAGGGCCTACCAGAGTAGACACCGACCCCTGTCCTCCGTGCACACACACACACACACACACACACACACACACACACACACCCCTGCTGTGTGTAATATGGTAGTTAGAATGAGAAATGTTCCCCAGAGGCTCACGCATTTGAACACTTGGCTCCCATTTGGGGCTAAAATCGACGAGAGGAATATTACCTAATTTTTTCCCCCTTTAGATAACTGCAATCACACTAGAAAAGCATGGAACTCTCAGATCACGCACTTGTCACAACATAAAATATAAGAGCCCTGTCTTAGGTCTTAAACTAGCCACCCACTTGTATTTATCCAGTATGCTGTTTCTGGTGCCAGACACTGTCGGGCGGGAACCACTGACCACAGCGCTGGAGCCCACTTGATGGGGGGTGACTCAATTGCTGTTACACCTTCCGAAGATGGAGAGGTTGTTCCTGGGCTGTTTTTTTCCAGGGCAGAAGAATTTGAAGTCATTTTATCCTGTGTCAGGAGGAGGCAAAGCAGAATTTTCTGGATAATCTTTAGTGAGCACTCAGTCGCTCTGATCTGTAGGTCCTTTACTGTCACCTGGCATCCGAGAGACAACCAGCCATAGGGGATGCGCGCTCACTGTAAAAGAATAAATAAATAAAAATTTAAAACTGTATTAAAAAAATAAAATGTAGCTGAGCATGGTGGCACACTTGCAGACCAGTGTTCGGAAGGTAGAGAGGCAGGAGGATCCAAAGTTTAAGGTCACTGGCTACATGAATTGGAGGCTAGCCTGGGCTGCATGAGGCTATCTCAAAAAAGACAAGACAGGGCTAGCAAGATGACTCAGGTGATAAATGGCTTGCCACCAGGCCTGACGACCAGAGTTGGATCCCTGGAACCCTCATAACAGTGGGAGGAGGGAACCAAGTCCAGAAAGTCGCCTTCTGGCCTCCACACAGCTGTTACTCGGACTGCTCATGCCCTTCAATCATACACACTAATAATAAATAGAGCTTTTATTAAAATATTAAAAGTAAAAATGACTATGTGTTGTCGAATGAAATTGTTTTCCTCATTTATCTGATTTTAAACATTTTCTACTGAAAAAATATAGGCAAAGCTTTTATTGTATTTTTCCGTTTATCAAATAGGGAGTTAGATTGTAGAAACTCTGTGTGTACAATTGAGAGCAAGCCAACCTCTAGTTTGGCTAACGTATTTTTATTCTAAAGGAGCTGCGATAAGTCATAGCTATTGCTTACAAATCCATAGATTTTTTTTTTTCTCGGTAGGCAATAAAGTGTCCTTTATTTCATCCTTTCCTTTCTTAGTCACACCTGCCCAGGGACATCAAGTAAAAACAAGCCACTGGAAGGCTGTTTCTCTGTGACCAGGACTTGACAGTCTGGTTCTTGACAAACCTTGCCTTTCTATTTCATACTTGACTGCAACTGTTCACTGGCCCTGGGCTATGAGTCCCACCCCAGAGGAGAGGCCGATTTGCCTAAGAGTGTATAAGCTGGCATGCAATTTATCTGCCGCCTACGGTGTGTGAGATATGTTCCTGTGTACATGTGGTGCGGCGCCCGTGCTGAGGCCAGAGGAGAGTCAGGTGCCTTACTCCATCACTGACACTCACCTCCTATTCCTTTGAGGCAGGGTCTCACACTTAACCTGGAGCTAGGCTGGTGGCCAGCGAGCCTGGGGAAGTTTCTTGTCTCTGCCTCCATAGCATTGGGGTTATAAGCACTCTGAGGGCCATGCCCAACTTCTATTTTTAATGTAAGTACTGAGAATTTGGACTGAGGGTCTCATGCCTGCAAGTGTCCTTACCCACCCCACCACCTGCCAGCCACTCGAATCCCTTACTGAGGAGGAGAACCAGAAGGAGCTGATCTTCTCTGTATGCCTAGGCATCAAGGAAATTCAGTGAACACGAACAAAGGAACTGATAATCATTTCATCTTCCTTCCACTCCTGCTGTATCAACCCAACATAAATGTGGTGGCTTAACACCACATTTATGTTATATGAGTTTATGTTTCATATGTATTTATGTTAATATAAGTATATTATCTTAGAGTTTGTGTCAGAAGTCTGACTCAAGTCTTACTGAGCTAAAATCAAGGTTTCCTGTTCGGGGCTCGATCCTCTGCTGGGGACTCGGGGAAACCTCGTTTCTTTGCTCCTTTGGGTGGTTGGCAGAATTCAGTTCCTGGGGTTCTAAGACTGAAATCCCCATTTCCTTCCTCTTTTTCTGGGCTAGCAACAGAGGGATACATTATTCACATACTTCAAGTCTCTCTTCCCTTTTCTGCTTACACTTTCAGAAAAGATTTATTTTTATTTTATGTGCATGAGTGTTCTGCCTGTGTGCACTCACGCGCACGCATGCACACCACATGTGAATTGTGACTGGTGCCTGCGGGAGACCGGAAGGGATGTGATGCCCTGAAACTGGAACTAACAGATGGTTGTGAGCCATCGTGTGGGTGCTGAGAATGGAAGCAGGGACAGCAAGTGCTCTTAACTGCTGCTCTATCTCTCCACCCTTTCTCTTTTTAAGTCTTCTTAAATCTTTTAAAGACTTATCCCTGGTACTTGTTGCACTGACAGAAAGCTAGCAGGATGTGTAAGAAAATACACTCATGCGTTCTGTCTGTTGATTAGGACACGGGCCTTTTGCAAAGAGGTTCACTATTCTGCCCATACAAGGGTCTTATATGAGACACCATATGCAGTCTCCAGCTTCTCTGAGGCTCTTCTATGAGGCTCTCCGGAAAGAATGAACATGTTGAGATCTGACTGAAGGGCCAAGCAGCTGTGCTGCCATGACAGGC